GTAGGTTGGGAGGAAGGAAGGAAGGAGCGAGCTGCCAGGGACCCCGGGCCACCCTTTTCCAAGTGAACAGCCCTCGCTGGGATGACATAACCCGGCATTTCGCAGCGGGTTTCTGCGGCCCTGCCAAGTCTCTCGCTTGGGAAGCAAAGCAGATTTTTTCCCTGCCCTCCCCCTGCAGGGACGTGGGCTGGGAAGGACCTCGCTGCTATCGGGCTCGCTCTGGCTCCCGCAGCAAGGCGGGTTATTTCTAGCCACAACAGTGTAGTCTAACTCTGCTAACCCTGCTTGTAGTCTGCAGAGCTGGCTCCCGGACAAGAACAGAACAGGGTTGATAAGGCAGAGCCAGAAACAAGGGCTGATTTCATCAAGGTTGCCAGGTGTCCTGCCTTTAACAAGGAAATATGCTTTTCTGGAAGCGAGCCTTCCTGCCCCGCGCTTTGCTGGCATCCCGCTGCGGCATCAGGTGCAGAGGAGCCTGCCTGGGCCCGCGCCCATCTCGCTCTTCCCTTTTCTTCCTCCTTTCCTCCCTACCTCTTTCCCCTGGCCCAATAACTGATGTGTTTGGGTGGATATTCAGCTGGCTCGGGCTCCCCGTGCCCTGTGGAGCTGAGCTGGGGCGCCACGACTGCCCGTGGGCACGAGGTTTGGCGTGCTGTGGGGCTCCGGTACCTTCTGGGGTGCCTGGGGTGAGCTGATGTCCATCTGCAGGGCATCACCGACTCCCCTCTCTCCTCCTGTGGCATGGGAAAGCAAAGCAGAGGCCTGTCTTCATGGAAATAATGGGGTATTTGGTGGTAAAACCCAGTAGAAATGAAATAAGGCCTTGTTATCTTTTAAACTGAACGTGCTCAGTAATTCCCTGCAGTTTTGCTCTCTCGGAGTCACTTTGGGCTGCCCAAGATCTCCATGCAAAACCCGTTTGTCGTCATCTGGGACAGGGATTGGGACGGGGAGGGGATTTCTGTGCTTTTTAGGTGGATGCAGGAGTGGTGAATCCTCTCTGGCCTCCTCCTCAGGGCACCTCAGCGCTGTGCAGCGTCATCCCCAAGGGAGTTTTGTCCAGGCACCGCGGGATAATTCTCATAAACCTTCTCCTTAGCGGCTGCTGCTTCCAACTCCTCCCGTTTTCCCTTTTCCTTTATAAAAACCTTACAAAACACTCATGTCAAGTGTCCATGCTCCTCCTGCCCGTGTGTCCCCAGCCAGTCCTTGGGCTGCCCAAGCCAGCAGGGCAGAGACCACGGCGATTTCTAGGGAAGCGCTTTTGGCTTGTGCAGCTTCTGTGCCCAAAGCCGCACAGCTCATTCGTGGCCGTTTCGAGGATTTCTGCTCATGAATCACGAGGAAATTGCAGAGCAGCAGCATTTCCTCCCATTGCTCGAGGCTTCTCCCACCGCTGAGGACCCAGACAGAGCCATTGGGGCAGGGTTTGATGCTGATTTTGGGACCTGAAGGATTTTGGGAACTGCTGGGCACTGTGCAGCCACCAAGGGATGCAGCTGAGCTGTTTTGAATTGTAAAGAAAAACCTGGTATATGAAATACGTTTTGTGTATCCACAGAAGGGATGTGTGCACAGACACCATTGCCGTATGAAAGCGCAGTTAATTTGTTGTGGAGGGTCCAGCACGGACCCTAAAATGAGGAAACAAACACAAAATTACTCAACTTCATCTTTTCTTGGTTCCCCTTCCGAGCCCCTGCTGCTTCCTTTTCCCACAGTGCGGTTTCATCCCGAATAGGTCATGGACCTGGCTCTTTGCATGCTCATGTGCACCGTTCATTTGGGATCGGGTTGGAAAACTGATGGGGTGTTCGTGGGGTGTTCTTGGGGTATTCTTGGGGTGTTCTTGGGGTATTCTTGGATTATTCTTGGGGTATTCTTGGATTATTCTTAGATTATTCTTAGTTCATCCGTGCATGAGCAGGAGGTGGCGTCAGGCCGTGAATGGGGGCTGGAGAGTGATTTTGGGCTACAGATGGGGGCTATTGGAGGGGTTTTTGATGATGAAAATCCACAGTTTACATTTCTGGGAAGATCTGATTTGTTCCTTGAGAAATGGTCTTAAATACTGAGTCAGTAATTGAGTGTCTGGGGGGACAGGATTTTAACTTTGCAGGAAAATGTCAGAATAATGATGACTTATTGTTGCGCTCTCGTAAACTTTACACTTCTGGGTTACTTAGAGATGAATCTCAGAATTTTTCAGTAATAGCTCATAAAGGCCTTGTTCAAACCTCCAAATTCTGCTGAAATTAATAGCTTCCACTACGAAAAGCTATGATTTTATTCGGGTTATTTGACCATCTGCAGTGTGAAGTTAGAAAACTAAACTGAAGGCGTCCAGGCCTGCAGGTTTTGTACAAGGTTAATGTGTATTTTTTCCATACACTTCACTTCTGAAACCTCCTAGTGAAGATATTTGGGCTCTGAAGATGCAATCAAATGGGAATAATTAGTGAGAGCTTGGCGTTAAAACGACTGCAGTGTCCTAAACCCACTCTCTCTTCAAAAGCCTCGAGGCAGCACAGGGAAAGGGTTTCTATTAAAAAGCCGCTGTTTTTCTTGGAAGAGGAAATGATCTGACAAGAGGTGGGGCTCGGTTCAAACCTCGCTGATGCGGAGTGGTGTTAATGGATTAACGCAGTGACAGCGGAGAAGAGGTTTGTGCTTAATCAGATGGATGTGGGGTGACAAAATCTCCTTGGTTTATGGTTGCACGGTTGGCCTCTGTGTGAAATCTCCTTTGCAATTAGTGGCATGAGCGCGTTGTGGGTCCTTCTCTTTTCCTTTGCTTTCAAGAGCAGCATTAATCTGTGTGGTGGAGCCTGCATGGGACCCCAGGCAAACCTTTGAGTAAGAGAAACCCGAATCTTTCCCTGTTCAGAGAAGAGCCACAAGGATGGGGAGGGCTCTGGAGAACAAGCCTGATGAGGAGCGGCTGAGGGAACTGGGCTTGTTTAGCCTGGAGAAGAGAAGGCTGAGGGGAGACCTCATCACCACCTCCAACTGCCTCAAGGGAGGTTGTGGAGAGGTAGGTGCTGGTCTCTTCTCCCAGGTGATGGGGGATAGAACAAGGGGAAACGGCACCAAGCTGTGCCAAGGGAGGTTCAGGTTAGAGACAAGGAGGAAGTTCTTTACTGAGAGGGTCGTCAGAAGCTGGAACAGGCTGGGCGAGG